TTTTTTTTTTTTTTTTACAAACCACCACCTGAACTATACGAGTTTGTCAAATTGTCCCTAAAACCGGAAATCAAATTGGCTTTGACAAAAAAAAAGCTGATTTTTAGGGCATTTTAAGAATTTCATATATTTTTAAAAAAAAAGAAGGAAAGAAAGAAAGAGAAATGGCTCTTCTTCTAAAACCACCACGTCTTTCACCTTCTCTAGAAGCTAGTCCAGCCGGCTCATGGCAAAGCTAGACAGAAAAGCCTTTGAAAAGCTACGATATTTAAGTTCCAAAATTGACCGCCTCAATTATAAGGCTAATAAATAAATAATAATGAAGTTTAACCGAATTATGTTACACTTACAGAGGGGAAGGACCACCTGTAATGCCGGCTCCACCAGTCGAGCAATTGCTTCCGAGCCTCATTTGGCGGATTCTCCTTCATCCTTTTCTTCAAACACTCCTGCTTGAGACTACTTCGTGTATTGAATTTAAAAATACGAAAATTATCATTCAAATGAATTTCTCGAATCAAATAAATATAGCAGGTTACAATCTCTGATTTCTCCTCTGATTCTTCTCACGAACGATTTTAAGTCTTGGAGCGAAATCTTCGGCTTGATCTTCTCCTTGACTTGATTTGACTTGAATTAACGTTAATCCGTGGCCAACGCCTTGATTTCGGATCAAACGTCGAAATATCCCAAGGACGCGAAGAACACGAATCCTTGGTCTTTGCCGCAAAGTAGATCTTGAATTTTCTCCACGCCGGTTTTGAGTTTACTAACGTTATTCGGAGGCTTCGCAGCTTGTTTCTGGATTAAACGCCAGTCTTGAGGTTGAACGCGCTTGAATCTTGCTTCGAATCTTCAAGAACGCCTTTGAATCTTCAAGAACACTTGAATCTCGTCGAGATAATTCTCTAGAGCTCTTGAACTTGAATATGAATTATGATGTGTGTGTTTTACTTTAGGGAGAGCCCCTATTTATAGGTGTAGGAGGGAGAACCCTACCAAATTTAAGAATCATAGGACGCGATTTGATTGGTCCATGATGATTCACATAAAATCTTTTAGATGTACTTAGATCTCCCAAGATCTTCTAGAAGACATGTGATTTATTACCAAGAATTAAGATTTGACACTTGGCATTATTTGATTGGTCAAGAATTAAAATATTAAAATATCAATTAATTAACTATTTAAATTTATGAATTAAATATATGGAAATTCCTAAAATATAAATAGAAAATATTACTTGATTTTTAATAAATTAATTTTCATGTAGCGCCATTTGATTGGACACAATTTTCATGCATCTACAAATGCCCCCTCGAGACTTGTTCACGGACGACGTGTCATGAAGCGAATAAGTCGCTACTTTCTTTGACTCGGGCTTGAAAGATGTGATATGGACTTACAAGGTCCAAGGGAGCCCAAATTAATAAACTCGTCTTGCGTATCAAATAGCCCAAAACCTTAATCCATTTAAATACCCCATATATTGGGTCGTTGATAAGTTGAGCCCAATAACTTGGCCCTTCAAATAATTCAAACAATAAATTACTTCCAATTAGAGCCCAACAATTTGGCGCCAAAAAAAATTCTTTCCAAATACCCACGTAAATTATTTCCACAACTCCAATTGAAGACAAGCTCATCATCATACCAAAAGAAATTGTGGGTATTTGAAACAAAAACTCATCCTACCATATTTATTTGTTTCAACTTTTTATTTCTTCCTTCAGTATAATACGAAGGAACAAACTCAGCGAAAAGAAAATATGTTGTTCCTTAGCCTCATGCGTCAGTTCAATCACAAATTTGCTATTTTGGCCGGGATTTTCTCTTTCCATCCGCTCAAACAGATCGCAATAAAAATTTTATTTCCTTCCAATCTTTTCTACTTCAACTCCACACTAGTATGTACCCTTGCGATGCACGGTGGGCGCATAACTTAAAACATATTGAAGTACTTATTTTAAATGTAATTAATTGAATTTAACATATAACTATGGAAACAAAAATAAAAATATTCTCGTCCGATCTGCCATAGCCCAACAGCTCAGACCAACCGCTAGAAGCCCGTGCAACCAGCCCGAGTCCAGCCAAAAATTATTGTATTCTGTTGGTATTTTCACAAGTGCGCAATTCACATCCAACAAAATTTCGCTCAACAATTCACGCACGTCTCATTCTTCATATGTAAAATCCAACCAAGAAAAAATGAACCGTCGTTCGAAAAATTATCGCCAGCGCTCAAAATATTCGATTGTCTTCACCAGCAAAGAGTGCGACCATTCGTTGCCTTCAACATCCACTCTAGTCTGACCAGCATTGCACGCAAAACAATCGAGATATCTCACTCGTTCAGCCCGTCATCTTGCCATGTCTGTTACCAACCGCCCGTCCGCAGCATCATTGCAACGTCCAAGCATCAACAACCTTCGTCCAGTAGTCAGGAACAACCAGCACCAGCACCGACGACCTCATATCTTTAAGCTTCGTTGACCCTTCAGTATGGTCATCCTTCGGCCGTCGATTTCGAGCCAAAACTTGACCAATCAGACCATCATCAGCCGCCTGAGACTTCGTACAATTGTCCATACTTCCCGATGCACGACAAAAAACACACAACCTTCAGCCATAACTTTCAGCCATCAGCGTCCGACGCCGCATCAATTTTTCCCCGACTTTCCGATGCATGACCAAAAATTGTCAGCCTTCAGCCGTCAACTTCCGACGCCGCATCTGTCCAATAACGCCGCATCTGTCCGATAATGTCTGCCCGCTGACCTCTGTCAGTCCTAGCCGTAATCAGGCCCCTCGTACAAGCCATGGACGCAACCTAGCCAGCTGTGGACTACGGGTAGCCGACGATGAATATATATATATATTGGGTTTGAAGGGAGACAATGATAAAGGGAATAATGTGGAATAATGTTGAATTATTTCCAAAAGATAATGAAGAGTTTGTTATCAAGAAAAATTCTATGGAGCCATCCGATGGCTCTATAGCAAAACTGTTGTTACCAATATAATTATATGTAAGTTAAGATAAGATGTAATGTATCCAAAAAAATCTGCATATGATTGCTTTCTTTGAATGTTTAATTTATCTTTGACAAAATATTTAGTCTGCTATTAAATTATAGTAGATTTATAAAAATAAATAGGAATAAGTAATTGTTTGAAACGATAATTACGGATCAATTTATGGAATTGGGATATGTGATAGTTTTGCAGTTATCTTGCTAAAGAATGGATTGTAGAGATTTAAATAACGTGTCATTATATTTTTTTGATATCTAATCATTTTTAGTAACTTGTCTCCAGCATAAAAATTATTAAAATATTCAAATGCATGTGATTTTGTAAGA